GCTACATAGTGCAAGGTTTCTGAAGGTTTTTTAGGAAACAGTTTGTATGCACAGTCCACTATTTACTGCTCCTGATACAGCTAGAAGAGATGCATAATGATAGAGCAGTTAGGACTAATAATCTAGTAATAATAATGGCAATTATGTAGTAAGGAATAGCTTAGCATGTTCCTTTTTGTCCACAAAGATGATCATATGAAATAAATAGTGAAAATTTTCTTGGAATAAAATACTAGCTGTTAAAATCCTGACTTTTGTTTAAAATAAGAAAGCTTACTGGATTCGAAGGCATTTAATCTTCTGTATTCCAGCTACTGACACTATATTAATACTTTCACAATGAAGATAATGAAAATAGATTTTGAAAAAATATAAATTCTTGAATAGGATACCTGTAGTATTGATACCAATGATGTCTAAAGCCACAGCATAGTAAAATGTGGGAATAAACACTTGCATGAAACAAAAGAACCAGATCTTTACACAGCAAGGTGATGCATTTCTCTTTAGCGCAATGGTTTGAAAGGAAATGACATATAAAGAAAAGTGATAGATGACTGGCTTGGGTCTGTGCGAGGTACCTCTGCTGTGTGATGAAGTCAGCTAGAATGCTCGGGGATCCCAAAAACTCAGAACCCTGGGTTTGTTTGAAGCGGGGAACCTTAAGCTGTTGAGGTGGATTTGTTTGTGTGTGTTTTAAGCCTGATCTGTTACTAACTTCTCATTCACTTCTGCATCTTTCTCTTTTCTTTAATAATACGCCACGCTTTTATTTTCTGATATTTTTTATCTGTGTTATTGAAAACAGTCCTGTACGGATTAGTTTCCTTTGCAGTTCCAGCTTTACTACATAGGCCTTGTGTTTGTGCATCACCTTCTATTATTTATCAATATTTTATCTATATCTATATATTAATATTTTCCTTTGGGATCCTTGCTTCATTCTGTCCGCAGAATAAACACACATGATTTTAAGCAATTTCTGAACTTTGACCGACTTTTTAAATGTTCTTCACTGTAGGCTCTCTGCATACAATGAATATAGGCTGTTGCAGTGCAGGCACTGGGGTAGACATTGATTTCCTCACTACTTACAGATACTTGGAGCTGATGTTAGGAGAACCATGTTTAAACACAGCTGTAACTACCTCAGGGTAGTTGTAGTGGACATGACTATAATAGTAAGCAAGGAAATAATCAGTCAAAAGCACGTGATGCAATGCGGTTTGTTGATTTGATGTGTGAGTAGGTGTACTCCTCCGGAAAATGCATTTTTGTCTTACAGTTGAAGGAGAATTGTGGGTAATAGATACAGATAAAATCTTTCTCTATCTTTCAATACAGGTTGGGATGGAAGTGGCACCACAACTCAAAGAAAGCCTTAATAAAAATTTCTTTGATTTTCTTCTAACATTTAAACAAGTAAGCAAATAGGGGTTTTATTCACAAAATCACTTAAATATGCTCCTTAACCAAACTACCGCATACTTTCTTAAAATCTTTGAAGTTCTTAAATCTAGATTTAGGGATGTTCCCGTATCCAGATATAGTATGGGAAATTTTACATACATTCTGATAAGTTGAAACTGCTCTATTCAGCATGTTTCCATACTTTAATAATACCTGCTATAAGCTTGATATTTTTTTTACCCAGCATGCAAAGAACGCTTCAGAATATCTGTGTATCTTTGTGATCTTGCCTGTTGTCATTTCTGTTCATATACAAACTTTGTCCAGTTTATCATACCTCCTATTAAATACCTTTTCACAGCAACATGTTTTTGTCTTTTATTTCAACAGATTCATGGGGATACGGTTCAGAATCAGCTGGTAGTACAATGTGTGGAGATTCCTTTGTATTTGACTCTATATTCTCCTGCTATAGACTGGATTTTACAGTGTATTGCTTACCGTGCTCCTGAAGTAAGTAAGCATGGTAATGCTTGATATTAAAGGAAGTGTTGGGGTGAAGAGTTAATTTTGCCTATTAAAAAAACCCCTCAGTCAGTACTTACATGAGTGTGAAAGCAAGTATTAATACGACTGCCTATTTCTCTCTTCTATGCAGGAAGAATGTTCATTTCCACAAAGCTCAAATTAGACCACTTTAAATTCATAGGCCGTGTTCCTGTTTGTGCCTTGCTGTGTCCTTTAGCTAGTTTAATCTTGTATTTCCTGAATTCATTAGTTTCTTCTGTCATACAGATACAAAAATGATTTAAGTAAACTGTAGCTTTGTAATTGCCTAACATAGTCAACAGGCTATTTTAATCTCGGTCAGTCTGGTTTGCATTCTGTGGCAGAGAGTTGGTAATCTTCACCTCTCCTGCCAGAGGTAATTGACCGGGCTGGCAAATAGTAATTATTTTGAGAAATGGCATGGCTGAAGGATTGCAAATTTGACTTCCATAAAATGGTGTTTTTGATTAAAATGCCACTGTACCTATTCTAGTAGGTGTGGTTTATGTTGTACTACACCATTGTTTTCTTGTGTTGTAAATACAGGATAAGACAGGATTATTGGAATGTAGTGGGTAGGTAATTAAAACAGCTTTTGGTAGACTTCACTACAGTAATTAAAGCAGAATTTATTTGCAGAGTCTCGACTCACTTATTTTAATAAGTAATTCTTCCAGGTTCTGCTTACTGAGATGATGGAGAGATGCAAAAAATTGGGGAACAAGTAAGTATTGCACAATGTAGAAGACACGAGTCTGTAATGAGTACCTGTGAGTCCCTGTAATAAAATTCTCTCTCTCTCCCTTTTGAAAACACTTTTTGGATGCATAATATAGCTTTTGTTCTCCCACTAGCTTGCTTAATCATGATTATGAACATGTATTTTCCAGAGATGAGTTCTAAAATATGGTAGATCACTTGTAGAGCAAAAGTTAATTAATTTAACTTCGTTGCTGCATTTTGGCTCCTAAGCCAAAGTTTAGGACTCGTAATGTATTCTCCATCAGCCATGTCTCAGATTCCTGGTTGTGCTTCATTTTACTCTGTTTTCCTCCCCTTCCTTCCCCCTAGCCTCCACTGGCTACAGTCAGCCCATACATGCATTTTGCAAGGGAAGTTGTAAAGCAGCTGACACCTTTGGAAGATGGTAATATTTAGGCGACTGCTTTTTTCAACATTAAAATTAGTATCCCAAATGTCTCCTAGAAGTCTGTGTGCAGACTAATCACCTTCAGTGAGTAGTTCAGGAAGATGGTCTGAAAGTTTTGGATGTACTTTCTGAGCTGGGTGAATGCAATTTGGCCTGCTGATGAGCTAATCTCAGTTCATTTTACTGGTTAGGTAAGCTGAGTTCTGTGAAAGTTTTCAGCTGCCTATTTTTTTCTGATGTGCTTTGCATAGTCCAGTTCTGCAGTGGCTGAGGAACTAAAACATGCTAATCACTTAGATGAGGAATGCCAGCATTAGCATTCTGTGACTGAGCTAAGGAGTGCGGGGAAAGTGTGATTTTAAAAATGTGATGTGAAGATGCTATTGTATCAGAGTGTATAATATGGGTAAAAATAATCCACATACTCTGCTGTATTAATTATTTTGTATAGGTGTTGATTTGTTTTGTGGAACTTATTTTTAAATCACCTTTTAGCATTTCTTGTTGTAAAGATGAGCTAGGTGCCTCTTCTTTGTGTCTGCTCTTTGAAGGAAGGACAAAATGTTGAGTATAATAGGCTTTTTTTTTCAAAGAAATGTTTTCGGGACATGTCTTTTTTATTGGGAAGTTGAATAATCTGGTTTAGATGATCTATAAAGCATGGTAATTTTCTTTTAAAGTGGAGTTCTGTGTTTTTATGTCTTCTCATGACTGTAAAAATATTACAAAGCAAGAGGCATCAGTATATAAATCTTCAGATAATCTCAGTATGTTCCATGAACTACGTTGCAACCGTCTAAGTGAAAAGTGGCAGCCTGCTTCTCTGTATTGCAAAGCATATACCTAGTGAACTGGAAGTACTTGTCTCATGATAAAATGCAAATTCTAGTCAAATTGCGATGTGACCACTAATGCTCAGTCAGAAACACAGAGAATCCTGGGCTATTTAAGTGCTCCATAGAACTTCCCTCAAGGTAAACCACCCTGTATTCAAACTGTCTGTTTCAGACTAGTGAAGGACACTGTTTTATGAGGCAGCTTCTGTGCTAACTCATGGCGGAGTTTGCCCAAAGGAGTTGCCTTTTGAATTATACTGGATTTTGTTTCTTATGTTTGCATAATAGTATCAGTAAACTGGGTTTTACAGTAATGCAATGAGTTTACTCTTCCATTGGTAACTTTGGCTTGATAGTAATACAAATATGGGTCTGAATGCTTAATCATAAATGTCATTGCCAGTTATCGTATGATAATGACTGGATTTATTTTAACCCTAACAATGCAGCTGCTAGAAATCTGACTTTTATAATGCATATATATTTTAATTCAGTGAGAAAAACTTCAATAGAGATTTGCCCTGCCAAAGTATACTTCTGAACTGTGGTTAAAAAGAGAGAGTAAGTTTCTAAACGTGTCAGCTACTCCTGGTTTACTTGATCTTTCTAGTAAACTTCTGGTAAAATGATGGCTTCAAAAAAAACCTGTGCGGAACAAGTATTCTACAGGCGGGGTTACCTTTTTCTTATCTGATGGCTTAATGTTTTCTTGTTTTGCTTATGCACTATTACTCCTCATCAATGCAAACTTGATTTGTGAGGCTTTTTTCTTCCTTATCCCCCTTTTTTAAATTTAGAATAGATGCTGGACAGTTGTTAGTCTAAGAAGTTCAGATTAATGTAAGTAAAGGGACAACAAAACTTTAGTTGATGTTGAGCTGTGTTGATTTGTGTTATGTTCATTGTAGTGCTTTGCTGTTGAATTCAGTAATGTCAGCATTCAGAGCAGAGTTTATTGCTGCAAGATCTATGGACTTCATTGGCATGATTAAAGAGTGTGATGAATCTGGATTCCCAAAGGTAACTTTTTGTATGTAATTTGTTACAATTCCTGTTCATTGCCTGACAGAGTTCTTTATACTCTTAGTTGCCTACATAACTTGCACATCATTTAAATAAAAGGTGGTTTGATCCAAAAAACCTTTCTGATCAGTGTACCTGCTAGAGCAGCATTGGACGGACATGCATTTTCTGCTTTTAATTTAAAATTTCTCATTAACTTTCAGCATCTCCTCTTTCGCTCCTTGGGATTAAACTTGGCATTGGCTGATCCTCCTGAAAATGATCGCCATCAAATATTAAATGAAGCCTGGAAGGTTATAACAAAGCTGAAGAACCCACAGGTGAGTTATTGTCCATTCTGTTTCACTACTGATTCTGTGTTTAGGACAAAATTGTAGCCAGTTGTTCAGTAAGCTTATGCTTAGCGTGACATGGTTTACCTTTTCTAGATACACACAGTTGCCAAAAAATATGATACCTGGTAATATCTTTATATGATCCCTGCTTTTCTGAGCTCTACTTAAGTATAACTTAATTCTACATAACATAATTCTACATAAGCAACTTCTGCGGTTTGTCATTAGTGCTAGATCTTTAGGTCTGAATGAATCATACCTCAGGAGTTAATTCTTTTAAGTGTAATTTTTGCAAGTGTATTTCTCCTAATCTCCTGTAAATATTGGTAATCATAAGACACATGTATTTCTAGGATTATATCAACTGTGCTGAAGTGTGGGTGGAGTATACATGCAGACATTTTACGGTACGTCAAAATTACTTTGTTTCCTTTGAAGGTTTTCTGATACAGACTAGGTGGCTATATTAGCAGTTTGGTATTAAAAATGGAAAAGCTGTGACTATTCAGTATAACTGTGCAGGACTTCAGTAGCGAATGAAAAAATGTATTTCCTTTCATGAAAGATGAATTGGGACAAAAGATGCAGCTTTGAAGGAGCCTTCACCATTCCCCAGAACTGCATATTTCTTTTCCTTTTATTTTAATGGCAAATGGACCAGTTCAAGTAAGGATTTACTGGAGCTATGGCTAAAGTTCCTGGCTTAACTAGAGCTCTGTAGAAAGCTGATGCTTTGGCAAATGGAAATAAATTATCCAACTGGTTTCTAGTGACTTGATTTATGTGCTGATTTCATTACTCATTTTTCACTACACAGAAGCGAGAGGTCAATACAGTTTTGGCTGATGTTATCAAACACATGACTCCTGATCGAGCATTTGAAGATGCTTACCCACAGGTAAAGAATTTATTTTGCCAAATATGTAAAAATCTGATGTGCATTTTCTTAGATGAAATTAATTTCTTAAACATTACTGACGTCTCCTACCACAAAATAATTATTTTTAAACACTGGCTATAATTTGGGGAGCCTTTTGGAACAGTGTAATGCTGTGATTTGTTCCTCCTTTTTTCCCTAACTAAACCAGAATGATTTATGTATTTAGAAGTAGCAATAGTTAACTCCTACATCAACAGTGGTGTTCTGCTGAAGAAAATTAGCAGTCATGGCAGGCTGTTTAAACAGAAGTAAACCATGAAATATTCCATGTCTACTTGGCATTGTTAGGAGTTCGGTGAGTTATCGTGTCCAGTTCTTGAGTCTGCATGCCAGGTGAGATAGGGATTAGTTGAAGAGGTTCTAGAATGTGGTTTTTGTGGTTACTTGGAGGGTAGATTAAGTGCCTACAAAAGAAGATTTAACAAACTGGTTTGGGTTTTTTGTTTGTTTATTTGGGTTTTTTTTTTTTAGTCTAGAGAGCTGGAGAACATGCAGGCTATAAATTGGAAAAATCTGCCTAACTATAAAAAGTAAAGAACAAATAAAGCCTGGGCAGGCTGGTCAGCCTCTGTTCATGAGAATTCTGAGGAGCATGTTGGAAAAACATCTGTTAGGAACAGCATAGCTGTAGTTGATCCTGCTTTGGGGAAAGAAATTACATTGATGAATGCTTGAAGTGTCTTCCAACCCAGTTTTCTATGAATAACTAGAGAAGAATAATCTCTGGTGTGGATAGCCTTAATTTAACTTGTATTACAATAATTTTCCTCTTTTTTTCTCCTCCCCCCCCCCCCCCCCCCCCTGCAGCTGCAGTCAATTATTCAGAAAGTTATTTCCTATATCTATGACTTCTCTCTGCTTTTTTCAGTGGTAAGTGATACTCTGTTTAATAAATTTTTAGGAAGAACTATTTTGCACTGTTTCTGCAAGAGAATTTACCTGACTCGGATATTTAGATTGTTTGCAAGCTCGCATAGTGAGAGGACTTTTTATCAAGTAGATAAGTGCAAAAACGTTTTGGAAGCTCTCTGCTACTTACTACTTAAATATTCATTATTCTAATTCTAGTTTTCTATACTTTTTTTTCCTTAGGCTGTTAGATTCTCTAAGTTTGTTTGGTACTATGGCATACATAGACAATCAATGGAAGATAAAATACCATTTATTTGTGTGTGTTCGTGTAATTGCTGATAGCTGTTTCTATGTTACGATATATACTTAACAAGCTCTGTTGTTGGGCTTAAGTTTGGCATTGAAACAAAGTGAAACTTAGAGAGGTCAGAGACTGTATATGAGGTAGAGAAAGAGGAACAAAGACAGCAGGTGTCAAAGTACTGAAACCAGTTGAAGAGTGAAATTCAAGACTGACCTTGTGGATTTGGAGTCAAGTCTTGTTCACAAATTGCTCAGAAAATTCTGAAAAACTTACCCGCGCTATATTCTTGAGATAGTACAGAAAGTATTTCAGTACCTTAACAACCTAAACCCTTATCTTTGAAGAAAATTTGAATATCTTGGACCTTCAAGTTGCTGTGGATACATGCAAAATGGTTGCTGGCATGTGGCCTGTTTTCATTGTTTTTAATATCCTACCTTTTGTTCCCATAGATGTCTGAATTTGTCATGATCTTAAGCTGTTTCAAGCATATGATTGCTTTTAAAAAATTTGCAACATTTGATTCAAAGAGTTCTGTGGTTTGTGTTTTATTCTGGATCTCTGCAGTCAATATCTTGATACACCTTTCAGCCATCGGTGCTTTTCCATTTGTTCCACTCTTTCATACTTCAAGATAAATTACTGTCTCCAAAAAAGATTAAAATAATTTTAACTAAAGCAGCTATGATTATAAAACTTATCCAAAATACTTACTGTTTTAGCGTGTTGTTTGTATAATACCTAATTTTACTTGTTTATGTATTTGTACTTTCAGGAGAAATTCTTGCCATTTCTGGATATGTTCCAGAAGGAAAGTGTGAGAGTGGAGGTTTGCAAGTGCATTATGGAATCTTTTATTAAGTAAGTGGAGAATATTGAGATTAAATGCACTCTGGAGGGTCTGGGGAATGTATTGAAAGATTGCTAGGGAAGATGAGTCAGTATATAGGCCACTTAGCTTGTGAAGGTGTTCCAGGCTATGGGGGGAAAAAAAACAAAAATATGTCAATTTTGTTAATCTGTTGATTGACTGTTTAACTGTTCACAAAGAAAGCTGAAACTGAAGTAATCATATTGATGCTGACTTGCTGTGGATTTACAGAATAGTTGTTCTCTGAGCTTTTTTAAATTTACGTTGCCTTAGTTGGTTTATGAAATTTATTTCGTATTCCAGCTGATGTGACAGCACAGAACTGTTACCGTGGTATAATGGAGGAAGAGAGACAGTCTCTTGTTACAAGCTCCACTATGTAGAAAAATGGGTATTTCCACAGTTGAAAATGAACTTAGAAGATGAGGCTTCATCTTCAAATACTGTAGAAGTCAAACAGTCCTTTTCTTTTCAAATATTTAACAGGTTCCTTCAAACATTTTTTTTCTTTTTCGCCTTCCCTTCAGGTATTTATTTACACTGCTAAGGCCCCCAAAGCCTTCCCTTCTCTAGACTAAACAGTCCCAGCTCTCTTGGCCTTTGCTCGTATGAGAGATGCGGCAGCCCCTTAATCATCTTAGTGGTGCTCCACTGCACGTGTGCCTCTGTACCTAAATGTGACATTTATCCTTCCTGTCTGTCCATCAGTAGCTGAGAAACTATATTACTTCTTGGTAGATCTAGGATTGCTTTGTTTTGATGTTCTTAAATTGCCTCAATGTATCACATCTAGCTTGTTGTGTCCCTTAAGGAGTCAGATTCTGTGGCTTGGCAGTAAAGCTCCGTGTATTAAGATAATATTTCTTGACTGGCATTTGTTGGAATTGTACATCTATTAACCATGTGATCTTTGGAGTTCTGTTGATTAAAAAATGAATATAAAACTTCTGTAGTGTCATACAATGCTGATGATTGGAATTATGCATTAAATGGGTGTTATTCTATTAATTATTTTTTATTTCGACAGAGCAGGATTTTTCATCACATAAAAAAGTAGGCATCAGCAGTAATCTACAAAGGATCCTGTTATACTCAATGCTCTTCTGCATGTCTGCAAGACGATGCATGATTCTGTGAAGTAAGATTAACTTTACTCATACTAATAACTATCGTTTATGCAAAGTTTGGCTGCTTGGTGTACATTGCACATTTTTGAGGCTGTTTGTTTCATAGTGGATTAAGACATGAATCCAATTAGTGGTGAGGGAAGAGCTGTGCAGTGAAGTGGCAGCATGTACTATTTGCTCTTTAATTACTGCTTTATTTTTAATACTGAAGCAGAATTTTAAAAGGAAAGTAGCAAGTTTTGTAGTTTTCTAGCGAAGCAGAGTCACTAAACAATCTTTTAAAAATATTTTTGAGAGTGAAACCAATGTAATCTTTGAATTATAGTGAATAATAAACTATTTTTGAGATTTAAGTAAATGTGTAGCTATTAAAGCACAGATTGCCATACTCAATTATACCTTTTTTTGGGCCACTTTTTTCAGCCATTACAAAGGGGTGTGAAATCTTTAAAAGGACACCTGGAAGATCTCTAGGAACTTGAACAGGGGAAGCTAGAACAGCGGAGAAGCTCTTGAATCATCTATGTCTTTCCCCTAAATCCTCCTCTTTTCCCCTTGACTTTGAGTGCTGAGGTTGTTAGGGATCCTGGGTGCCCTGTTACACCCTCACTGAATAGCCATTGTGCAATGTGGAAAAGAGCTGTAGTTTCTAGCTAACTTGCAAAAATCACACAGAGATCTGTGTCTGATTGAAAATGGAGCCAGAATCATAATGCTGCAAATTTTAGATCTTAAGAGCAAAGATCTCCTTTTTTTCTTCTGGTTTGGGTTGAGTAGAATTGTAAGGGCACAGTTTCTTTTGGCACTCTGAGCCCAGAGCGTCTTAGTGTGGCAGACACTGTAAAGGAACTTGTAACTTTCTCAGCCTTGATATACTATGAATGCAAGATTTATTGCCAATAAAGAAGTCAGATTTGGCATGTAATTCCAATTTATACCAGCTAAAGTGCTTTATTTTGGGTTAGAGCACCTTATTTGGCTGTATGTTGCACTAAAAGCCACTTCAACCTTTAAATAGAACAATATATTGAAGCTAAAACAGCTTATTGAAAAAAATTAAGCAGTTTATGGCAATCCATATTTGGTGCTTCCTCTGATGTTTTGCCAAAACAATTTGATAGTTTACTGGGATCCTTAAACTCCCTTAAACCAGCAGTTCTTTTAGCTGAGATAATATGGTGTACATAGTTAGCTTGGTTCTGTTGTGTCATCTCTTATTGGTGAATCATCGTAAATGCTATCTTAAAGTAACTCCTGCATCTATTTTTACATCCTGGTTCAGGAAACTCCCAACCCATTGTGTAGGGCTCGCTGACCCTCGTAACAGCTGTTCGGAGGATAACAGCCTTTAGACTGGTAGAGGTCTGATTCAGAATTGAACTGGAAATCTATAACTCTCCCGGAGGTCTCATTACAAGTCTTCAGAGCCTTTCAGAGCACATCAGTTGACTCTTTTGATTGGCGATGCACTAATGAGCTAATCATGCTGAGATTTTCTTTCCTCCTTTACTGAATTTGTATAATACAACTATTGTTCTCTTCCCATCTGGTGTCTGAGCTAGGAAATTGGTAACTGATATACTAAAGGTCAAAGCTGGAGACAAGTATATAATAGTAAAAGGATTAAATCGTATTAGTTAATTGTAATTTAACTTTTTGTTCATCCATTTTCAGTGAAACAGGTTTGGCTTACTGGATTTTCATGTGATGTAAATTTGTTTAAAAGCAGATTTGGACTCTTCCTATAGAATAGGTGTCTGTGATAATCTTGAAACTCATATAAACGTATCAGTTTAGTTCAGTTCTTACTAAAACATCAAAAAGGCAGCACTGCAACAAGGTGATGTTAATTATTTTTTAAATTATGTGGCAGGGTTAGTAAAAAGAAAAAAAAAAACCCAAACAAAACAATAAACTAGTGTTGTTTCTAAAATAAATACGTTAGCTATTACATATACTATTCAAAGTGTATTTTAAAAGCTTTTCCCCTTAACTAGGATAACTTTCTTCTAAGAATAGATTTACTAATTTCTTTAGGTTTTCATAATCAGTTCCTACTCCAGTTCTCATGTTGTAACACAAGACTGAAGCCATTTGCTTGCTGCAGTAAAGAACGTGAGCTTAGCTTCCTTCTCCTCATGCCAAAATCTGAGTTTCTGTAAAATCTAAAGACACTCTTAGCAATTTTTACGTTTTTTTTTAATTTGGAATTTAGTTTGGTGCATGGTTGACTTGGTGATAGCCATATTAAAATTAGTTTTATTGCTTTATAACTAGAATTACAAGCTTAGTGGTCTTAGTGTGCAATATTTTATGTGGACGTAATGTTATAAAAATTAGTATGTATAATTTGAAACTTTACAGATAAATAAGTAATATTCTAAAGTTTACCGTATAAATTTTCTCTTACAGTGCACTAACACTTGAGGATGAGAAAAGAATGTTAGCAGCTTTGATAAATGGATTCATAAAAATGGTGAGTGACAATTGTGTGCAACTGTTAGGGTGTACCTTATAGCTCGGATTTTCATGAGATCCCCATGAGAAACAGGTGCCTATGTAGCTGAATCAGAGACTGCGTGTCTGACTTGCGCAAAAGACTGTTGAAAACCCCAACCGGTGTATTTTAGTGAAATAAGTATGCATGTGTTGGAAGAAATATCATACAGTGTTGAAGCTGACATGATGCAATATGAGAGTTTAAAGTGTGCATGTTGTTTATTTAATCATATTTTCTGCTCGTCTTTTAAATCTCATATAAAACATGGTAAGTATTTAAAAGTTAAACAGCAATTAAAGTCTTGCCTATTATAGCATCAGAGAGGTCACTGATTTATGTGAATGAAGTTCCACTACCCAGCTCTAAATGGAACCAATAGCTTTAAAAAACACAAAATAAATGTAACTTGTATGTTATTCTTATCTTTGTGTATCTTAATTTAAAAATAAGATAATTTGTATAATCAAATTAGTAGCCCCACAACAACTCCAGTTGTTTTGTCTTGAAATTAGTTTTTAACCCTTCCCTCCCTCGTATCCCAGTAAAATCTTTTGTTCTTGTCTGCTGTGTTTGAGATGTCAGGTTGTTTTAGGGAGGTGTTCCCAAGATTTTTTTATTCTCTAACCAGGTACTCTTGATGCTTGGCTTTTCTTTCACATAGTTGGAGCTGACAGGCTTTGTCTCTACTTGTCCTCTTTGTTCTTTGTTGCAATTCTATGAATTTATCTCTAGATGGTTGCTTTCTCTTCAGCTATAATAATTTGCTATTTAATATGTTTTAATATAATTTTGCTTTATTAAGCTTTATATGCAGTATAATATTGTATAATTTCCTTTAGGAGGATTTCCCACATTGAATAATATTTGGTGTGGCTTTATAGTCTTGGTTTAGGGGGAAAAAAAATCCCATAGCAGCAAAATGACTAGTTATAAATTTTAAACCAGCACACATTAAGGTGTGGAGGGAAAAGCAGTTGCAACAGTCATTCTTACAGTCAGGCTTTTTTGTGGAAAATGTTATATTTTTAGAGAGGTTTTCTTGAGACTAGGACTCAAGAATCAGCAGTTGCACAAATAGAGGAAAGGCGAAGACAGTTGTCTGTAACGTAAGAAGCAATCCTTTGTTTTCTGGTGCAGTTCCTTTGATCTTTCACTGTATGAATTAAATGTAATTTTTATTTTAATTCTGTAAAAACTTCTTTTGCATGTGGCTTGAGAAATAATAAATACTGCAACCTTTACTTCTATTAGAAAAAAAATTCCATTTGAGTACATAAATGTAGACTGCCTGGAGACTGTTTCTCTGGCTAGGCTTTTAATTGACAGCTGAGACACTCCAGCTGACAGCACTTGGTTTTTTAAAATCTCGAGGGTTGGAAGTAGGGTGTTCTCACAGAAGGGTTGTTTTTGACTTCTTTCCTGCCAGCATGTAAGGTTGCAGGCTTTTGCCATACTATATAAGCATATATTTATTAACCAAACTCAAGGAAAACCTGCTTTTCTTATTGGTATATCTAGTTAGGAAAATACTAATTTCTCTTGGAGGCCCTTTAGCAACTAGAAATTACAGGAATCTGAATACAGATTCACTGATTTATTTCTGTTTTTCTGGGGTTTTTTTTGTTTTGCTTTTTGAGTATGAATTATACCAAGCCTTTGTCCCTGTTCCATAAAGAATCAAGAGTTCTGCTAGTTTTGAAAACACTTCACAAATCTAGGATTTAAATTTTGTTTTCTTGGTAAATACTTGATCTGTAAAGTAGAAGATCATGTGGAGTATGGACAAAAAGCTCCAGCAAAACTTTCAAGTTTCCCTGAAGGTTAAGTATTGGAAAGCAGACAGGTAAAAGGACAGAGATTCTCCAGGTGCTATTTTGCTGTTAATGGTGGTTTTTTTCTTACCAGTATATGGGGATTTTGACTTTTGAATATCTGTGGTTTATCTGCATGCAGTTTTATATTTCTTAAAGTTAATGGCCTACAGTGGTAAAATCTAGGGGATTTTTTTTTTCTTTTATAGGTTTCATTTGGCCGTGACTTTGAACAACAGCTGAGTTTCTATGTTGAAGCCAGGTCAATGTTTTGCAATCTGGAGCCTGTTCTAGTCCAATTGATTCATGTAAGCTACAGTTTGTCGACTTTACCTTAATAAGTGGGGATATATTTGCAGGTCTCCCATTCCCTGCCCAGATTATTGGTCTATGTCAAAATAATCTGAAGTCTTTTTATCACATGTTTTTAAAGTAGACTTTGATATCATCTCTCATTTTATCACCCTAAACTCTCTGAAGTTCTTGCTTGGCAGGCATGCATAGTATCATTGCGACAAAGAAAACTGTCTATCTTGCAACAGATTTCATGTCTAATAAAATAAATGGCACTTTTGTGCATTCAGAATATGGGTTCTGTCTTCTATAATCCTCCATCTAGGAGAGATTAGACTGTGTCTGGCTGCAGATACAGGCAGAGTCCTGCTGTGATTGGGAAGGTTAATCTCTTTTCTGTATTGAGTCACATGTCAGGTGAGCATTAGCTGCGTCTGATTCCTTTGCAACATTGTATCTTCTCTTAAATCCTTTTAGTATTTTGTTTTTGTTTTTTTTTTTTTTTCCCTAAGTGTGTTAGCTAGAAATCATGATTTTTGCACCAGGAAGGGGGTGATGACAGCACTATATCTGGGAAGCAAGGTGCCGTGGTTTAACCCCAGCCCGCAACTAAGCACCACACAGCCACTCGCTCGCTCACTCCCAGTGGGATGGGGGAGAGAACTGGAAGAGTAGAAGTGAGAAAACTCGTGGGTTGAGATGAAGACAGTTTAATTGGTAAAGCAAAAGCAGCACACACAAGCAAAGCAAAACAAGGAATTCATTCACTGTTTCCCATGGGCAGGCAGGCGTTCAGCCATCTCCAGGAAAGCAGGGCTCCATCACGCCTAACGGTGACTTGGGAAGACAAACGCCATCACTGCAAATGTCCCCCCCTTCCTTCTTCTTCCCCCAGCTTTATATGCTGAGCATGATGTCATATGGTGTGGAATATCCCTTTGGTCAGTTGGGGTCAGCTGTCCCGGCTGTGTCCCCCCCCAGCTTCTTGTGCCCCCCCAGCCTGCTCGCTGGTGGGGTGGTGTGAGAGGGAGAAAAGGCCTTGACTCTGTGTCAGCACTGCTCAGCAACAACAAAAACATCCCTGTGTTATCAACACTGTTTCCAGCATAAATCTAAAACATAGCCTCATACCAGCTACTCTGAAGAAAATTAATACTATCCCAGCCAAAACCAGCACACAAGGGATGATCCAAAGCCTTGAATAAATCAACAAGTCTACCTTCACAAACCTTCAGCATCATACTTACTTTAAGGAACAGTCACTGAAATTCTCCAAGTAAAAACTGAAAAGTACAGTGAGGGCACACCATATCAGGGTCCCTTTTGACAGTTTCTGTTTTCTAAATGCATGCAGTAAAACATGCAGTTTGTTATTTGCTGCTGACCTAATAAATCTGTGCATTTTTCTTAATGATTTGCTTTTGGTTTTTATGTGTAGTCTGTGAACCAGCTAGCAATGGAAACAAGAAAGGTGATGAAAGGAAATCATTCCAGAAAGACTGCTGCATTTGTCAGGGTAGGTCTGACTCTAATAAAGTTTGAACCTGCCTTCTTAGCAGATAATACTATCTGTTGCCACCTAAGTTTATAATTTTTGCAAAAACAATATGTTAGTATTTTTTGACACTGTTTGTAGTCTCATTTTCTCTTTTTACCATTGATCTTTACTCTCTAAAGCCAAATGCTGCTGTTTAAGAAAAAAAAAAAGACCCAAAGCATCTAATGGCAACTTTGTGTTAAAAAAGAACAAGATTGACTCCCTCTCCAAAGGAAGGTTCATTGGAGAGGTGTTTGAGTGAATTTTAGAAAGCTCAGCTTTTCAAATTGTATTTGAAATAAAATACTTAACTTCTATGTAACTCAGTCACAGAGAGAATGGGAGATAGAGGGGAAAAGAATGTATTTAAACTTCTGTCTCATAATTTCAGTGTTGATATGCTGAAATCAGTATTTGAATTTCAAATTAAGTGCTTCTTTCAGCTTTAGTGCCTCTGAGTCTGTGCAGATATGGTCCAATGAGCTTTGAACTACGCACAGGCTATGCAAGTTGCTTGTGTTCCCTTCTTCTCACCTGAAACGTAGCAACTAAGATGTCTTCATCTTCATGTGTTGTGAAGGTGTTTGCATATGCTACCATTCATTAATGGATTTTTGTTCACGGCACCTGTGCGTGATGTCCTGGACAAAGGATAGGTAGGGTGACACTGGCCAACTTCTGTATGCCTGGGAGCCACTCGCTCCATCTAGGTGTTTGGGCTGTTCCAGTAGGTCTCAAGCTGCAGCATGCTGCACTATATCTGCTTCCTCCCACATCTACACAATGCGCCTGCTTTGACCAGTTTGACAGATGGATTGTCCCTGAGGACCAGTAGTCTGCTTTTCTAGTTAGATTTTGGTCTTGAGCTACAAGCTGGTTACTTGAGGAGAGAGGAACTCTTTGAGCTAGAGTCATAGAGTAAGTTTTGAGCTAATCTACTCATAATAATAATTAATAATAATAAATATTGTTATAATTATTGAAATAATAATGAGAAATTTGAAGCTGCTGATTTTGGACTTAACATAATATTTGCTTTTTATTGAAAGTCTTTCCCAAAACTGATTTACAGATCTCGATTCCTAATCGTGTATAAAATCAGTAATGATTGCTATAACTCTGAGTCCGGAATTTTCTTCAGTTTCATTTTTTTAATTTGCTTTAGGCTTGTGTTGCCTTCTGCTTCATTACAATTCCATCTCTGAGCAGTATCTTCACACGTCTTAATCTGTATCTACACTCTGGACAGGTTGCTCTGGCAAATCAGTGCCTTTCACAAGGTAAGGCACGAATTTGTCTACTTAAAGGTTCTCTTATTTCAGAAATATTTCTAGCTGTGAATAATAACTTCGTTGAAATCATAAGTCATATAAGTATATTTATGATGTAATTAAAATACAGCCCTGTTTCAAGCACTGTTACAGTGAAAACATGTCATCTTAAAGCAACTCTTCAATTCTAACGCTAGTCCTGTGATCTAAATAACCAAGACAGCTGACTCTAGTTGACATAGTCATGGCTTTGAGGTAGGTTGTCCTAAATTACTTAGAAATTATGGAAAGCATGGAATGTTTTTCCCCTGCATAATTATGCAAGCACTCTAATCACAAATAACGTGCTTTATTATAACTGTGGGAAAAGAAACCGGTTCATCTGTGTAGTGGTTCACAGGCTGACAAAATCCTGCAGCGAGCTGGAAAAGAATTAAAACTCAGGTCAAGGACACCAGAAACTTGCTATCAAAGCACATGTGTGATAAACGCTTAGCTAAGAAAATATGCCACTATATCAGAGTGAAACAATGGAGTAATACCAGATAATATGGAGAATGAAAAATATGTTTTCTTTTTTTGATCTGAATTATTGATTGAATCGGGGCCTGAGTACAGTTTTTAACCATCCTGTTAGCTCAGTCTTAAGTAATTGGAAATTCTGACGAAAAGTGATCTGGGGGGAAAAAATGGAGCTGCTCTGGCAGCAGAATGAGCATCAAGTCTGCATCATCATTTAATATGATCTTGTTCTTATTCATATCACAAATGGAAGACAGTTACCTACTCTGAAAGTCTTCTCATACTTTTAACTGTTTGCAGTACCTTTCTTTTCCTTTTTAAAGTGATGTCGTTCTACCTTGTTTTGCAATTTTAATACTGACTTTAAATGTCTGCTCTCCAATGGTAAATGCTTTTCCTTTACATCTTTTTACTGGAGCTGTGAGAGTAATAAATTGGATTACTTTGCAACATCTTTTGTTGTGGCTATTAATTCTTTGTTTTAGCTCTGTGCTTCTTCACAAGAGCTTGTTTTCCAAGCTCTGCATTTACCAGTAAGTTCCAGCTGCACAAACAAGCTGACTTAGGATGCTGATTAAGACTTTTTAGTACAGGATGACTGTTGTATTTCTTTGTTTTGAATCTGATGCTGCCCATATAGCAAAGCAGAGGGATTTAGATTAAAGCTGGCTGTTGTGTCCAAGTACGTTGTGCAAATAAAAGATCTGCAAAGTCTGTTGTTGTGCAATTAGTATTGTGCGGTTTCTTTGTAGATAACAGAGCTTACCAAAAATGGACTAGCTTTTTCTTCCTGCTTTGTTTAATTGTCCAGCTTACCTTATTCTTTGTATCAATTTTTGTTACTGTTGCTGTGTTGCAGTACATCTCTTGTTGGAAATAAATCCAAAGCAGTTTTTCTGTAATACTCGGTCTTTAAGGACTATGCCCTGCCCATGTTGGGATCAACTCTTTGATTTAATAATCTTTCAATTTATAAACTGCTTTTGCACTATTTTTGCGATCCAAGTCTTCTCTGAGTGAGACTCCTGGACCCCAACAATCATCCAGATTTTTCAGTGTGAGAGTTTATCAATGTGCACAGCTGTTGTTTGACATGTGAACACAGTGCACTCACTAAACAATGAATAGGATCCCCATTCTGAAATCTTTTAAGACAGCAGGTATATGCAAAGTATTACGAACTCAGTCTCTAAAATGCATATTTATTAACCACTCTCTCCTGAATTTTAGACCCACAAGTTAGATAGAGGAGAATTTGGTCCATCTCAGCTTTTGCTGAAATGAAGCATGTGCGAAACTGGTGTTCAGTAACTCACCTCGTTTACCAAGGTTTTATTATTATACACTTTTTTTCTTCCTTAGAAAAGCTATTTTGGGCATAATTTGTATTCAGAGACGTGTCACTTGCATGAGTGATTTAGCATGTGTTAACCAGTTAGGCAACAGTGACACCAGTCTTGAGAGATTTTTTTTTGTGCATATTCTGGTGTATTATAGTCAGATAACATGTCCTTGAAAGTTACTTTTAACACAGTTTAATCCGTATCTCAGCTGAATGCATTTCATGTGTATAAGAAGTACTGATTAATTCATAGCAGCAAATTTAAATCCAGTCAGTTAACTGATGCCAATTAGACACTGATCTACTGAAACCAATGCAGCATGAAGTGAAGTTTTAAGAGTGTGCAATTAATGATAGCATTAGGCTAGGAAGTGAAATTGTGCCTTGCGTGTAACCTTTATTTCATGCTGATTGGAATTAGCTTAATCAGTTTAAAATTGGGAAGAGAAATAAAACTGAAAGGTAATGTACCTGATCTGATAGCTCAGTCAGTAGTGGGGCATGCATGTGTGCATGTGCATGCAGTTTCTTTTTAAAGATTCCAGCTGTTGTTTTTAGCGAGTTAAATTCTTGGATTTTTTTTAAATTTTAAGTTCCTACAGGCAGTCTAGCTATTTCAGTGAGTTGAGTTTTCACTTAAACATACAACAAAATTGAATTTCACAGGATAGACTTCTGTTGGCAATAGGAAGATTTCTCTGAATTGCCAATGTATCTAACTTGAAAAAGGAGTAAAATTACCTATTGGGGTAGATAAGGGGGAATTTAAAAGATTGTTTTTTTATAAAGAGGATGTGTGGGTCATAACAGTAAATAAAGTTTGCAAAACTGAGGATTGCACTAATAAACTACCAGCAACTGGAGAGCCACAGCTAATCTGCTTATAGCTGGAGGAGTTTCAGTTTTGCCTCATTCCCAATCTCAAGGGGCAGCAGAAGTAGTAGACCATCAGTCCTAGAGTCTCACTGTTCCAATTTCCTCTATCAAATCAGAGCCTTGCCTGCTGGGATTTGCCACACTGTTAATCAAAGCAACTGTGTGGTGCTTGTTTGAACTCACCCAAATACTTTAGTATTAGAAGACTGTAATTGTAATTTTTCTTGGAATAGATTTTCTTTAATACAATGAAATTGGGACAGAAACTTGAATTTATAGGCTCATGGAAAGTCCAATATTAATACAGTGATGGATGTCTGTCCAGGTATGCTGTTCAACGTGTATTAAACATGACTACTGTCTCTCTTGTCTCCAGGTCCCAAGAGGTGCTTTAAATAAAATGAATCTGTAACTAAGTTCAGGACATTTTAGGTGATTTTGTCCTGGATGCATATTTTGTACCTTTGGAGAGCCTATTAAGAGTCCACCTTAGAAAGGAGGATGCTAGATTTTAGTGATGTGCTTTTCTTTTTTTTTTTTAACTGAGCCACAGAACGCTGCACGCTGCCAACATAGAATAATAAATTCGCATCAGTCATGCTTTCTGTCATAGGGAGTGCTTGGACTAAATTGAGATTAAACGCATGCTCCATTGTGTCACTCTTCTGGATTTTTGAGATATAGGTGGTATTTTAATTGCACATATTTCCTCCCCATGGAAATGCTGCTTTTGTCTGTCAAAGAACAGACAGCATGATTTTAATTGTTGGTCACAGCATTCAGCAGGTGGGTAGAGATGACACAACTTTCTGGTAATGTATGTTCAATGGCATTTTTATCTTAAAGGCTGTGAAATCCTTGCCTCACTTCAGAAGTAACATGCTGAGTGAATAAAGTAATTCAACTGATTCTGTGTGACTAATTTCACTGGGATATTGTCAAACATAAAAATTTATTAAAAATGGAAAGTCTTTGTCCCCCAAATCAACTGACGCAGATCTTTATTTTGTTTAGCAAATGCAGATTTTAATTCTGAAGCATACAGTGCTTAATGTACTTCTAAATATTTGTTCTGTTCTTCAAATGTAGCTGAAACACAGTTTCACTAGTAGATTGCAAAAGGAATTTCTTTTTCTCCTTCAGAAAATGTTACTTTTCCATGAACGTTCTCTAGATGTGACAGGCTTCAGCCACACTTTGGAGAAAGTATAGTATGGAATATCTAATAAGTAATTTTTAATCATAGTCTAATAATGTTTTAGTGTATTTTCTCAGTAGCATTAGATAACAATTTTTAGTATTCCTTCATAAAAATCTCCTAAAATCTTTATAGATATGAAGAATATAGACAGAATTTGAGGTAAAGAATTTGGAGAAATAAGAACCTGAAGATGTTTTCTCAGTTACAGATTTTGGGACTTCTTGGCTCACGCTTCTCTGGTGAGATCAGCATATGCTGTCTCTGTTATCTTTTTAGATACTGTTTTCCTTGAAGGCAGCAAAGTAGCTTTGGGAGAAACTGGTGAGATACTGTTTTCCTTACTAGTAATACTAAATGTTGATTTATGTGAACAAAATTATGACTTGTACTGTTACCTGGGATTTCCATAGCTGGAAACTTCTCCCATTCACTGAGCTTTTTCTGGTTCCTCTCTTTATCCCAGCCAATAGCTTTTCCATATGATTTGAGAGAGGTGACATCTCTGCCTCTGTAAGCTTTTCAGAATAGCATTTTATATCAGTTTGTTAGTTCTTCGAGTCTGTCTAGCCCAAGACCTGTTTTTGAAAGTGTCTAGTAGCATCTACTAAGGGAACATGCAGGAAATAATAATGTAGAATGATGCTTTCTAGCTTTCAGCTGCAGGTGGTCTAAATACATCCTTCAACAGAGGTCGCATATGGACCACGGTATTTAATAAAATAGATGCACCAATTCTTAGGAATTTAATTCTTTATCAATTTTTACTTTGGCCTTTGTAACTTCATGTGACACTGAGTTCCACAGTTACATGCTACTTGGAAATCTACTACTTAGGGATTTATTTCTGTATGTTTTTTAAATGTTAGCTGAGTGTTTCAGTGCATGCAACTGATCTACTAGTGATACTGTGAAAAATTCAGTCATTCTTGGTTCATTTTCTTCATGTTACCTATGAGATGTTGGAGCTGGTAAGTTCCTGAAGATTTTGTGTCAGTATATTCTTTTCTAATAAGGAAATGGTTCTGTGCCTTAGCACCTTTTTAATCTTCTTTTTATCCTTTTGGAAAT